GTCTCTTTTACAGCATCCTATTCCTCTGCCCACATCTTTAATGTTAAGCCTCCCCAAGGTTCCATCTTGGACCCCATTTTCCATGGGTGTAATCTCACCCGTCTCCCCTATTTCAGTTACCACTTATATGATGGTAGCTCTCAAATTGTTACTCTTGCTCAGATGTATCCTAGACTGATTTATCCTCTTGCTAACTGATCTGTTTCTAACATTGCTTTCTGTACATTAAATTCCATCTGTGTCACCAGAGTATTTTTGTTTTTAAATTCTAATAGCATGTAATTTAGAAAAAAAATATAATGTATGAACAAGCATTATCATTAAATATGGGGGAAGACTACAAGACACCACAAAGAAGCAATTCACCGAACCCAAAATGTGGAACATTCTATAGGACAAATGGTGGGGTTTCTTCAACGAATGGAAGGAAGAAGGGAAAACCATGGTGGATAATTTTTTTTTTTTTTTTGAGACAGTCTCCCTCTGTTGCTCAAGCCTCCCAGATTCAAGCGATTCTCCTGCCTCAGCCTCCCAAGCAGCTGGGATTACAGGCATGCATCACCACACCCAGCTAGTTTTGTATTTTGAGTAGAGACAGGGTTTCGCCATGTTGGTCATGCTGGTCTCAAACTCCTGACCTCAGGTGATCCACCCACCTCAGCCTCCCAAAGTGCTGGGATTATAGGCGTGAGCCACTGCGCTCGGCCAATAAAAATAAATTTAAGTGACAACCAAAATGCAACATATAAATCTTGTTTGAATCCTCACTCAATCCAGCAATAAAAAGGAATATTTGGAACTATTGGGAAATTTAAATATGGACTAGGTGTGAAGTAAGGAATTATTATAGATTTTCATAGCTGTAATAAAAGCATCATGATTATGTAAAAAAAAGACTATATGTTAGAAATGCATACTGGTATGTAAATGAGATGAGATTGAACAAATGTTAGTAATTATAACTAGCTGTTCATTATTGTTCTATATATTTGAAATTTTTCTTCATAAAAAGTAAAAAATGAGGCTGGATATGGTGGCTGACACCTATAATCCCAGCACTTTGGGAGGCCAAGGCGGGTGGATCACAAGGTCAGGAGTTCGAGACCAGCCTGACCAACATGGTGAAACTCCATCTCTACTAAAAATATAAAATATAGCTGGGTATGGTGGTACATCTCTGTAATCCCAGCTACTCAAGAGGCTGAGGCAGAAGATACGCTTGAACCTGGGAGGCAGAGGTTGCAGTGAGCCAAGATCACGCCACTGCACTCCAGCCTAGCAAGACTCTTGTCTCAAAAAAAAAAAAAAAGTAAAAAATGAAAGGGCAGGTCAACTAAAAAGGAAAAAATAAAAATAAGGGAGAAAAAAAAAATCTTACCATCCTGGGAATTTTTGTTTACAGAACCAAAGGCTATCTGGTAAAAGTCCTTGACTCCAGCAATCAATCCTGGTAACAAGCCTGAGTTTATCTCATGCACACGTCCTCTGTTTCTCTGCAACACATATGAAGCCCTCAGATGGCTTCCTAAGGACAGGAAGTTGTGGGGGTTTGTTTTTTCTGTTTAAAGCACTGATTCTTAGCAGCACTACCCTGCAGTGAGACAGCAGAGTCATCCACTGCTGCCATCAAACCACAACTTACCAAGCTAATGGTCAAATTGCCCGTGTCCCACTAATGTTAGTAATAAAGCAGCTAACTACAATTTTAGATCAATGGAAACCCCTTGCTTGACCATAAACCCTGCGCTTCTGGGGACCATTTGTACCTTTGCCATTGTCAAAAACAAGTGATTAGCATGGCACCTGGCCCCAGTAACCACTGATGTTTAATTGAACAGACATCCTTAGAGGAAAGGGGCCATTATCATTTCAATGTCACTGAATTTGGTTTAAAAATTGTGCTAAGAAGCCAGGCTCATGGTGCCCCTGTAGTCTCAGTTGCTGGGGAGGCTGAGGGAGGAGGATCCATGGAGCCAAGGAGTTCAAGGCTGCAGTGTGCTATGGAGTGCATATGAATAGCCATTGCACTCCAGCCTGGGCAATATAGCAAGACCCCACCTCTGAATAAAGAAAAATTGTGCTAAGAGATTATGGAAACAAGTTTAAGGATGACTTCCCAACGATACTATTCCTTTTCCAGTCACTAGGATTGTGGTTACTGGGAAAAGTTACACAGATAAAAGCAAGTGCAGAAATAATAGAAGCCCAAAGTATCAAGTCAAAGTAAGATTGGAATAGAAAAGTTGTGGTTTCCTTCAGATCCTTGTTTAACACAGTATTTTTTTTTAAAGAGCAACTTTTCCCTACCCCTCTTTTTATCCTTCCCCTTTACATTATCCTCAGTGATAGTGCTTGCTAATTCTCAGGAGTCGACAACACTGCAGAATGTTAAGGAGCTAGCAAACTCCGAACCTCTAATTCCTAAGGCTGTGTCGATGACATGTAATATACCATGTCTGTGACATGTAATATACCAGTCCCTACATGTCCCCTCCTTTGTCTAAAAGTGAAACTTTAGTAAATGTTGACATTTAATTTTCCAGAGTGTTAATGAGTAGTTTCTAATTTTAAGCTCCTACCCCATCTTAATGTGAGAATTAGTGAAATAAATCACATTAAACCATTTTTTAATTTTGGGGGCAAAGACAGGATGAAAACATGAGGTATTGCTACTTGAATTGGTAAACATCCGGGAGGCAGATGTTGCAGTAAGCCGAGATCACACCCCTGCACTCCAGCCAGGGTGACAGAGCAAGACTCTGTCTCAAAATAAATAAACAAATAAATAAAAATAAAAAATGAAAGGGCAAAAACCTTGTTTCTTGTTAAACCTTGTTTCTTGCAGGAGTTTTGAGGCCAAAGACCGTAATAAAACAAACTCAGGAGCTTATTTCAAGAGAATACTGTCCCTGTCCCATACCTGTCCTTACTACTTTGTTTTGTGTGCTGTTGTAAGCTCCTCAACCATCTGACCAAGACAGTTTCAGCTATTTGGCTTTATCCATTCTCATTTAGTGTGCAATGCTATGGCTGCAACATTGTGAAATCAATTCCAAGAAGTCACAAAGCAAGAATTTGATGTGAAGGGATGTCCCTCATTTAGAGTTCCCTTCAGGATAAGATACTGGATGTTTCGTTGCAGGGAATTCTAGAGAGAAAACAATAGGAGGATGAGGGATTATGAAGTTGTTTTTTTTTTTTCCCCCCTCTAAAGAAAACTATCAATAAAGGAACCCTGTTGACAGTGTAAAGCAGTGCTTCTCTCTGGGGCCAAGGCCAGAGCTGTGGACACCTTATCCAACTCATCCTCATCCTCTTCCTCTGATAACACCCGTACCAGTGCTGATAACGTCTTTCTCATGAGAGCCTAGAGGCCTTTAAAAAAAAAAAAAAAGTGCTTGAAAGAGAAGGGGACAAAGGAACACCAGTATTAAGAAGATTTTCCAGTGTGTTCCTGGCGGTTGGTCCAGAAGGATGACTCCGTTTCTGCTTCTCATCTGCCTCTTCATCACAGGCACCTCCATGTCGCCCGTGGGTGAGTGTCATGTCAAGAACTTGGGACGATGCACTTTTTGTTGTGGCAATTTGTTATGAGGTACAGATGATTAAGAACTAGATTCCAGTACCTTAAATGCTAGCTCTAGAATTATGTAAGAAAAGTCCCTGGTAACCCTTGAAAATAGATTTCCAGAGAATTTCTGTTACAGCTTCCATTTAGCCTCTTGCCTGGACATCCAAAATTTCCATGGATCTGCCATATCCCACTGCTTTCCACTAGCTAAATACTTCCTGGAGTATGTGTAAAAAGAATTCTAACTTCTTTGTGTTCTAGGCACTTTTATAGTTCCAACTTGAAGAGAAAAAAAAGATTTTTAAAGTTGAGTGTAGAGTTGTTCTTTAATGAAGGCAAGGGACTGAAAGGTCTGTTGCCATGAGGGGCACAGATCTGGATAAACCAAACTCGTTAGTCTTTATATCAGAAAATAAGACTTTTTGCACAGATTGAGTGAATCCTAAATTGTCTCTGTCCTCAGGCTTGATGCAAAAGTGGCCAACCAGGCAAAGAAAAGTTTCAATTCCAGTTACTAACAGATTTCTCTCTTGCCTCTTTTTTCTAGTAGAATATAAGTGGTAACTGGAAGAGCAGGTGGGAGGTGAGATGGAGAGAACCATCCTTCTTGACACTTTTGAGTAGCTCGGTATTTAGTTGATCCTGATTTATTTTTTCATGGTAACTTGGGCCTTGCTCTAGCACCTTAAAGGATACACATTAAAAATAGGCTTGGGACTGGACGCAGTGGCTCATACCTATAACCCCAGCACTTTGGAAGGTCAAGGCTGGTGGATCACCTGAGGTCAGGAGTTCGAGACCAGCCTGGCCAACATGGTGAAACCCCATCTCTGCTAAAAATATCAAACCAAAAAAAAATTATCTGGGCATGGCGTTGCATGCCTGTAATTCCAGCTACTTGGGAGGCTGAGCGGGGAGAATCACTTGAACCCGGAATGTGGAGGTTGCCCTGAGCCGAGATCGCACCACTGCACTCCAGCCTGGGCAACACAGGGAGACTCCATCTCAAAAAAAAAATGACTTGAGATCCTAAGGAGACCTGACACCTAAATGTAATGTGGGATCCTGGATGGGATCCCAGAACAGAAAGATGTAGGTAGAAACTAAGGAAGTCTGAATAAATGTGAACATGAGTTAATAAGTTATCAGCAGTGGTTCATTAATGCAACGAAGGTACCATACTAACGTATGGCTAAAGGTAATGTGCCATAACAAGGGACGCTGGGTGTGGCATATATGGCATCTCTTTGTCTATCATCTCAACTATGCTGTAAATGCAAAACTGTTCAAAAAATATGCTTGAGCTACCTGTCATTAATCACCTCATATCTGCTGCCAATAACCCAAGGGTCCCTCAGAAAGTTGTCCTCCCAAAAATCTCCGCTCCCCTTTCTTTCCACCCTTCTCCTTACCTATTCTCCCTCTAGTACCTCCTGTATCCCCCATTCTTTCCATTACCCTCACCCTTCCCAGACTTTTCTCTCCCACCCCCAGCACACAGCACGTCAAGGATGGTATTTAGCTCAATGACAGAAGCAAGATAAACAGGGAATTTAAGGGGCTGGGGTTGGTGCTTGCCCTGGGAGGAGGGGGGAAGTGAGAGAAGAGGGAAAACGGGGAATGGGAAAGGGAGAAGAGAAGTAGGGTGATGAGGGAGGAGGATGAAAAAGGAGGGAGCAGGAAAGGGGGGTGCTTCCCAATCAAGCTCAGGCACAGGGTTCCAGGGGGCTGAGACTCAGGGGTGGCTCTCTGTAGGACCTGAAGGGTTGGAGGACACAGCCTTGGGGCGAAAGGGTGGGGATGCAGACATCAGTTCTCTGCCCTTGGCCCTGCGTGGTCCTGGTGGAAGAAGCCAGAGGGACGGCTGGCAAGCGGGCCTGTTAGCAAACCATTGAGCAGCTTCTGGTAGGCCAGGAAGGAACCCACAGGGCTATTCTTTTTAAAGCTGTACCATTGAAAAGTATAGATCAGCAGTTTAGGATGAATGAGCACGATACCAGATTCTGTGCTTCACACCGAGATTGAAAACAGGATATAAGACCAGGGGCCAGGCTATTAGATTAGACTGCTGCCTTCAAAGGGGGTACAGTGGGATGGGTACATTTAATGTCAGAAAGTATTGGATGGTTAACTTTTAAAAACATATATGTATTATTTAGTTAGGTTACAGAAGATGGTAGATAAATTTCTCCTCCTCATGCCTTATCTCCTCTACAGCAGGGAAGGAAGTGAACTTTTAGTAAACAGCCCAAGAAATGACATTTAACTTGAAGGAAAAACTTTATAAATCAGGAAATAGTTACTGAGAGAGGTTTAGGAGTTTCTGCAGAAGCCATTAAAAGTTGAGTATCTAACCATTTCTTATAAAATTAGAGACAGGGAGAAGAACCAAATATTTCTGTGACTCTATAATCACCTGTGAAGTTGCTCTGGAAACCTCGCTTGTAAGAAAAAGCCACAGCTGGGAGGGCAGAGGAAGAAATTTGTCCCTTTTGAGGGGAGAGAGAATCAGAGGATATTTCTTCCCCTTAAAGGCTTGTGATGCAGGGCTCAGCTGAGATACATAAGGGACATTTTAAAGAAAGTGGGTTGCTTTCCAGAAAATGCAATATCCCACTTTTTTCTTGTCTCAAATTGCCATGTTTTCTTGGGGGCCATGAGCAATGGGCTGCACCTTTCTCTACATGTGACTGAAGTTTAGAGAGTAAACTTAACTTTGAAATGTGGATAATGTAGATTAGAAAAATCTGAAGTATTTTCTAGACAAGTTAGATTTAGTGATCATGGCCCATTCATATTTAATTGTTGTGTACTATTTGCTAATACGGAATTCCCTGCCCACAAAATGTATTGGCCCTAATGTGAATTCCTTGCCTATGGTATCAGTTACGTAAGTCAACCTCTGCGCATTAAGAAGGATAGTATAGTACTCTCTGGCCAATGCTCCTTTCTATAATTTCTTAGTTTCATAGATTCCTCTAAGGACAATTTACCTACATTAATTCATTAATTAGTTTCCCTGGAGTTAAGGGAAGCAATGAGAATATTGGAGATATTGGTGTCTTTAGTCATTAAAATGTTGTTTTTCTTTCTTTCTATCTATCTATCTATCTATCTATCTATCTATCTATCTATCTATCTATCTGAGATGGAGTTTCACTCTTATTGCCCAGGCTGGAGTGCAATGGCATGGTCTCGGCTCACTGCAACCTCCAACCTCCCGAGTTCAAGTGATTCTCCTGCCTCAGCCTCCCAAGTAGCTAGGATTACAGGCACGTGCCACCATGCCTGGCTAATTTTTGTATTTTTAGTAGAGACTGGGTTTCACCATGTTGACCAGGCTGGTCTTGAGCTCCTGACCTCAGGTGATCTACCTGCCTCGGCCTCCCAAAGTGTTGGGATTATAGGCGTGAGCCACCATGCCCGACCAGAATGTTATTTTTCAAAGTCTTCACAACATGTAATGAAATATTTTGGATGAGATATTTGTCCTTGTAATTTATGCACTAAAAATATATGCCTGAAAAACTTTGCTGTATAACAGCTAGGATAATAATGTCATGGTTAACTGTGAATACACAGGATTCTTGATATTTTCAATAAGCTGGTAGAATATATACCAGAATTTACTTTGAGAATATTCCTAGTAACTACATGCTCTTATACTGTGTATTTCAAAGTAGGTAACACATGCCTGAGGTCATTTCCTTTTCAGTGGAATGAGCTTTACACGTTCCTTATCAAGTCAAACTTTCTAATAATGCAAAATTTCACCTATAATCTTCTTTACAAATGGCCAGCCGAATACTGTTTTGAAAATTTCCAAGGATTGGAAGCTAACTGCACTGTGACACAGCCTCTCCTATGACTGGATAACTGAAGTGAAATGTGCTTTCCTACTATTTGTTCTTGTTCTTGTAACAGAATAGCTAATTTCTCTTCCACAAGCCTATTTCAGATTTTTTAAAACCAATATGCATTTTCTTCAGTCTTCTTTTTCCCAAACCATGATTCTCAACTTCTCCAGTAATTAATTTTTAGGACCCCTTCTAAGTCTGATCAACTTTCTCTGAACAAGTTTGTCAATTACTTTTACAAAATACAGTCTCTGGCTGAGAGCTGGGTTCATGCCTGTAATCCCAGCACTTTGGGAGGCTGAGGCAGGAGGATCACTTGAGCCCAGGAGTTCAGGACCAGCCTGGGCAAGATGGCGAAACCCTGTCTCTACCAAAAAAAAAAAAATGAAAACAAAAATTAGCCAGGTGTGGTGGCATGGACCTGTGGTCCCAGCTACTTCAGAGGCTAAGTGGAGAGGATCGCTTGAGCCCAGGAGGCAGAGGTTGCAGTAAGCCATGATTATACCACTGCACTCCAGCCTGGGTGACAGAGCCAGACCCTATCTCAAAAACAAACAATAACAATAATAATACAATCTCCAGTTATGAATGAAATACTCAGATTGTGGTCTGACTCATTCAGAGTTCAGTGAGTCTTTAATCCTAATCTCCCTTGGTCTGAATAACTATCCTTCTATCAAGTAATTTCTCTGGATAAAAATTTAATTCAATGCTAACACTAAACTTGAGGTTTGAAATGCTTTTGAAATAGGCATTTATGCAACATGTTTAAATCAACTTGAGGAACCTTAAACAGTTATTTTTAGGGACCTTAACTAATTTGTCTCTTGAATTCAAAATGTTCAAATGCAAGACCAAGAAGGTGGACTTGGGCTGTTGGTGCTGTGATTTGAAACACTCCAGTTACTCTGAGGTATCTTTTTCATTTCCAGCCCTAGATCCTTGTTCTGCTTACATCAGCCTGAATGAGCCCTGGAGGAACACTGACCACCAATTGGATGAGTCTCAAGGTCCTCCTCTGTGTGACAACCATGTGGATGGGGAGTGGTACCGCTTCACGGGCATGGCAGGAGATGCTATGCCCACATTCTGCATACCAGAAAACCACTGTGGAACCCACGCACCTGTCTGGCTCAATGGCAGTCACCCCCTAGAAGGTGATGGCATTGTGCAACGCCAGGCTTGTGCCAGCTTCAATGGGAACTGCTGCCTCTGGAATACCACGGTGGAGGTCAAGTCTTGCCCCGGAGGCTACTATGTGTATCGTCTGACCAAGCCCAGTGTCTGCTTCCATGTCTACTGTGGTCGTGAGTACCTTCCCTGTGCTCTTCTTCTCCGCCAACAAGACCATGGGTGAAGTCCGGAAGTGCCACTTATAGGAAATGCAGTTACAGTGACAACTATATCTCAGTCTGAACAACATTGATGTGGGGCCAAAGATACCTCTAGATTGTGATTTCTGCTATCTCAGAAGTTCTTAGAACTTCTGAAAAATTCCTGAAGAAATAGAAGGGGAAAGAAGTTATGACTTTGATCAGTTCTTTTTAATTTTGTCTGAATTCCATTCAAACAAAACATTAGAAAATGAAACATTGATTTAGGTTCTCTAAATAGTGGATTTCCAGCTTTTTTGAGTATGGAGAATACCTTTTTAAGATCTTTATTTTGATTAATAGATAGGTAGTCAGACATCCATATGGTTGGATTCTGTTTAGTGTCCACTGATTTTTTTAATGATGTATAATGGGAAGAAGCACTTTATGTCAGTAATACTTTTAATTTCTGTGTTATTAATCCCATTAATGTCTGTATGCATTTTAAAAATAGAGCACTGGAAGAGTAGGACATAACACTTTCCTAGTCTATAGCTCATATATGGTGAGGTTTTAGATTTGCAGAAACTCTATGGCCACTCATGGGCCTATGGATCTGAAGTTGGGAATCACTGATCTAGATGACAGAAGTTGCCCTAGTTTTTTGTTTTTCATTGGGTTATATAAACCCTGAACAATGAGAATTCCCTCGATGGTGGCTGGAAACTCATCTAGGCTGGGCTGCACCTATGGGGCTCTCTCAAGAAGGAGAGGGTGAGCTGGATGCAGTGGCTCATGCCTATAGTGCCAGTTACTTGGGAGGCCAAGGTGGGAGGATTGCTTGTGCCCAGGAGTTCAATGCCAGCCTGGGCAACATAGGGAGACCATCCCCCTATCTCTAAAAAAGAATGAAAAAGAGAGTGTCCTCTGGTCTCCTCCTCTCATAAAAGATAATCTTTATCCTTCCATAGATTTTTATGACATCTGCGACGAGGACTGCCATGACAGCTGCTCAGATACCAGCGAGTGCACCTGCGCTCCAGGAACCGTGCTAGGCCCTGACAGGCAGACATGCTTTGGTAAGAAACTCATCATAAGGTAGAAACAGGCTATTAGGATCAAAAAGAGAAATCAAAAACTCTTTCTGCCTCAGAGCACCATCTTTTTCCCAGTATGTGTCTCCAAACACTTGGAATGGTGCTTGCTTTTTAGTTTATGCCTAGACTGAAAGCCCCATGCCAAATTTGTATCATGATTAGGGACAGTGGAGAATTGTGCCCTCCACTAGAGTTGCTACAGGTGGCCATGGAGCACTTGAAATGTGGCTAGTGTGACTGAAAAACTGAATTTCGATTTTATTTGATTTGAATTTTAAAACTGATGTTTGGCCAGGCACAGTGGCTCATGTCTGTAATCCCAGCACTTTGGGAGGCAGACAGATGGCTTGAACCTAGGAGTTCGAGACCAGCCTGGGAAACAAAGAAAGACTTCATCTCTACAAAAAAATATGAAAATTATCTGGGTATGATGGCATGTGCCCATAGTCCCAGTTCCTCAGGAGGCTGGGGTGGGAGGATCACTTGAGCCTGGGAGTTGAAGGTTACAATGAGCTATGGTTATACCACTGCTCTCTAGCCTAGGTGACAAAGCAAGACTCTGTCTCTAAAAATAGTATGTTTAATACTGGTTATATATCAAAGTGAAAATATTTTGCATATAATTGGGTTATATAAAATATATTATTAAAATTAAGTTTCTTTTTTAAAAATTTTAATGTGACTACTAAAAGATTTTAAATTAAATATATAACTTGCTTTATATTTCTGTTGGACAGCACCTGGTCTAGAATAATCTAAGGACTTACTCCTCTAGCTTCACTGTTACAATTTTGGTTGTTCTGAGTAGCAAGAAATGTGAGTGAGATTGTCTATAGGAAATCCAGAGTTGTTGAATTGTGTATTATGCTGTCTATAACTGGAAGAGAACAGAGATGAAAATCTCAAGATTGAAGATCATCTCTCTTTCTCTTTAAGGTTATGAACCTTTTTGGATTCAGACTCAAATAGATTTAAAACAAATCTAGAGAGAAAGGGGAAGATTGCCCTACCCTGGTCCCCTCAAGAAGAACAGTAACAGGTCAGGATTGAGGTAGGAGATTAAGGTGAAAGGAGCAAAAAAGGCTTATTGGTTTTTGTTTATTTGTTTGTTTGTTTTTGAGACAGGGTCACACTCTGTTGCCCAGGCTGGAGTGCAGTGGTGTGATCTCAGCTCACTGAAGTTTCGACATCCTGGGCCCAGGTGGCTTCTTGTTTTAGAAAAGCTTTTTCTCTTCAATCTCTTAAGTGAGCCAGGTGCAGTGACTCATGCCTGTAATCCCAGTGCTTTGGGAGGATGAAGCAAGAGGACTGCTTGAGGCCAGGAGTTTGAGACTAGCTTGGGAAACATAGTGAGATCCCGTCTCTATAAAATAAAAATAAATTAGCCAGGTGTGGTGGCAGTAGCTGTAGTCTCAGCTGCGGTGGGAGGATTGCTTAAGCCCAGGAATTTAAGACTGCAGTGAGCGCTGATTGCGTCACTGTGCTCCAGCCTGAGTGAAAGAGCAAGACCCTGTCTCTAAAAAAAATAATAAATCAATCAATAAATAAAGCTCCTAAATGAACCCACTAACCATCCTGCGGAGCATGTTTAGGCCCTGCCATAGGAGTTGTTGGGGATCTCATGTGGTTGATTTTGAATATGTGATTTAATGCTAAATGACTTGGGGTAAAGGCGATAGCGGTTCCTGAAGTCTCCTCCTACCCTCATATATTTCTGTTAAAAAATATTTGGCTTTTTTTTGTTCATTCATTTCTTTGCTTTTGTTTTAATGTAACTTTTAAATAGGTAATACATTTAAGTGTTTCCCAAATTAAACAACATAAAAAGGTATACAGCAAACTGTCCAGCTCTCAGTCACCCTCTTGGACCATTTCCCTCTTCCCCAACTCCATCCCAAGGAAACAGTTATATTATTTTCTTATGTATGCTGCTTCCAGGGTTTCTACAGGCAGATTTAAAAATGAATACACATATATATATTAACCTGTTCTCATGCTGCTAATAGACATATTCAAGCCTGGATTTATAAAGGAAATTTATAAAGAGGTTTAACTGACTCACAGTTCCACATAGCTAGGGAGGCCTTACAATCATGGCAGAAAGTGAATGAGGAGCAAAGTCACTTCTTACATGGTGGTAGGCAAGAGAGCTTGTTCAGGGGAACTCCCATGTATAAAACCATTAGATCTCATGAGACTTACTCACTACCATGAGAACAGTATGGGGGAAACTACACCCAGGATTCAGCTATCTCCTCCTGGCCCCACCCTTGACACATGGGGATTATTACAATTCAAGGTGAGATTTGGGTGGGGACACAGCCAAATCATATCAATATGTTTACTTATTGGTGAATTTTAAACATCAAATGTAGCATATCATACACATTTCTTCCTTAATTTATCTTAGACATGTTTGTCTATCAAAGCCCCAAGTTCCTGTGTGGGGTCTGTGGGATTTTAGGGAGATTGTGAATCCTCTGAAACTATAGACAGAGTTTTGTGTTTGTGAGCATGTGTCAATTTTCCTTTAGTTTTTATTTAAACATAATAATTTTAATGATTTGTTTTAAACTATATAATTTTTTCAGGTAGCATACAACAAAATAATATAACAGAAACTCATATACCTATATTTATGGTTCACTTTTGCTTCCTTTTTTTGTTTGTTTGTTTGTTTGCTTTTTGGTTATTTGCTTTTTTATGGAGTTTCACTCTTGTTGCCCAGGCTGGAGTGCGATGGCACAATCTCGGCTCACTGCAACCTCCACCTCCTGGGTTCAAGTGATTCTCTTGCCTCAGCCTCCCGAGTAGCTGGGATTACAGGTGCATGCCACCACGCCCAGCTAATTTTTTGTATTTTTGGTAGAGACAGCATTTCACCATGTTGGCTAGGCTGGTCTTGAACTCCTAAACTCAGGTGATCCACTTATCTCAGTCTCCCAAAGTTCTGGGATTATAGGCATGAGCCAGCACACACAGCCCTTTTTCTTTTAAATAAAATTTTGTAGATACAAGTAAAGCCATCCCATTCCATCCTGCTTTCTTCTCTCACCCTCCAGAGGTAATCATTGTTTTAAAGTTAGCATATGATCTTCTGGTCCCATTTTTATGCTTTCATTATTTACGTATGTACCTATAACAATAAATAGCATTGTTTTGTGTGTTCTTAGAATTAACATAAAAATTATACCTTACCAAGTATGTGAGATTTTCTCTAGCAGGTACCCATAAGAATGGAACCGCTGGGGCATAGAGTATCTATCTTCATTGGCTATAACAATAAACCCCCAAATAATTATGGCTTAAATAAGTAGAAGTTTATTTCTCTCTCATATTAAAAAAAAAAAAAAATCAGTCCAAGATAATCAGTCCAGGCTTGGAATGGAGGCTTCTAAGGGACCCACCCAAGCATAGGTGTCACCATGTCCACATCCGCGAAGGCTGTGAGCCTCTAATCATCTACTTTCCAGGCAGTATAATGAGGAAAGGGAAAGAAGGGGCCCTGATAAAGATTCTTAATATTATCAACTACATTTTGCATTTCTACAAGTTCTACGTGTTTGTTTTTGTGTGTTTTCAGTTCTGCCTTGTCTTTTTACACACTGATTTTGGTTATTATCCTTTCTTTTATCTTTTTACTAATTCTTTAAATACTTGTATTATGGATTTTTCTGGACAATTCTGTTATTTCCAGTTCAGAGCCTCCAGTTACCATGCCAACACTCTCTCACAATGGATCATTCCTCGTATAAGTGTCTTGCAGCAAACCATCTTCTGTTGTGGTTGTTTTTCTGTAGGGCGCCACTCTTGTCATCTGGTATCCTTGTCTGTTTAGTGTTGCCGTAAAGGAATACCCGAGTCTGGGTAATTTATAAAGAAAATGGGTTTATTTGGTTTATGATGCTGCTGGCTGGGAGACTGAGCATCTTGTGAGTGCCTCAGGCTGCTTCCACTCATGGAGGAAGGTGAAGGGTGCTGGCATGTGCATCTCATGGCAAGAAAGGAAGTGAAAGTGAGAAGGGGGAGGTGGCAGCCTCCTTTTAAACATACTGAAACTAATCTAATGGAGCAAGAACTCACTCATTTCTGCAAAGATAGCACCAAGCCATTCATAGGGGATCTGCCTCCAAGACCTGAACACCTCCCATTAGCGCTCACCTCCAACACTGAGATCAAATCTCAATATGAGGCCGGGCACGGTGGCTCACGCCTGTAATCCCAGCACTCCGGGAGGCTGAGGCAGGTGGAACATGTGAGAGCAGGAGTTCATGACCAGCCTGGCCAACATGGTGAAATCCTGTCTATTAAAAATACAGAAATTAGCCAGGCATGGTGGCGCACGCCTGTAATCCCAGCTACTCAGAAGGCTGAGGCAGGACAGTCTCCTGAACCTGGGAAGCAAAGGTTGCAGTGAGCCAATATTGCACCACCGCACTCCAGTCTGGGCAACAGAGACTCTGTTTCAAAAAAAAAATCTCACTATGAGATTTGGAGAGGTCAAATATCCAAACCATAGCACGTGGTTTGAGGAAGTTTTACACAGAGCACTTTTTCAAATGCTTCTGTTGGCATCACAAATGCTTTATCAGACCAGGCCAAATTTTTCATCATTCAAGATTCACCATACCATGTGTGAAGTATAAAACCATACTTCAGGCCGGGTGTGGTGGCTCACTCCTGTAAACCCAGCACTTTGGGAGACTGAGGCAGGTGGATCACAAGGTCAGGAGTTTGAGGCCAGCCTGGCCAATATGGTGAAACCCCGTCTCTACTAAAAACACAAAAATTAGCCAGGCAAAGCAGTGGGTGCCTGTAATCCCAGCCTGTACTCGGGAGGCTGAGGCAGGAGAAGAGAATTGCTTGAACCTGGGAGGCGGAGGCTACAGTGAGCTGAGATTGTGCCACTGCACTCCAACCTGGGCAACAAGAGTGAAACTGCATCTCAAAAAAAAAAAAACAAAAAAACATACTTCAGCCATGACAGAGCCCTGGCTTGGGGCTTCCATTGTTTGTAAAGCCTTTTCTTTCTTCTAGAGCCCTGGGCAAAGTTTCCTTATTGCTTCCCTGGGCCACTGGGCAAAGTTCTTCTCCCTGTCTCATTGAGGGGATACATTTTCTGGGGTCCTAGACTTAAGCAGGGTTTCAGTCACAGCTTATCTCCTCTCCTGGGGCCAAGGTCATGCCTCCTGTCACCTCATGGGTGTGTAAACCTCAGTCCTATCTAGGTCTGTTATTCCCGAGGGCCATGACAAATTTAGCTCCCAAGCTTCCTTTTCCTTGTTTGTAGAAAGAAAGGCGTAGAATTTGCTGTCAACTGCGCATTTTTTTTTTTTACCACAAGAGTCCATACCCTTCATCAGATTCTTTAAAAGGTTAGCAATCATTGCTTAAGTAGAATGTGAGAATATACTAATTTAAAAAACAGATTTTGAGGGCAATTGTTCATGTTATAAAAGAAAATTGCCTCATAAAATATTTTATCAGCTATTTCCTTCTGTAATGTAAGCTCCTTTCATGACTTAAAACAATTTACTTTGTAAGTTTGTATTTATTTAGCAACTTCTCAGGAACTCATTGGAGAAAGTGAAATTACCAAAACAAATACAGTAAGTAGGTGTACCCAGGACACAAAAGGAACTTCATTTTCCCATAGTTTTTCCCTGAAGAGAAGGGAATTGGCAAGCAATTAGGTACCTTCCAGTCAGCAAAGGGCAGATGGACCAATAACATGGTTCAGGAGATCAGGTGGATGGAAGTGATGATATTGGATCACAGGGGAGCTGGGTGGTGGAAGGTGCATCAACAGGACCTGAAAAGATGTGGAAATTCTGTCCAGGGGCTTGGGAAAAGGCTGAGTCACTCAGTAGTATGGAAACGGTATGGTTTCTCTTCTGCAGATGAAAATGAATGTGAGCAAAACAATGGTGGCTGCAGTGAGATCTGTGTGAACCTCAAAAACTCCTACCGCTGTGAGTGTGGGGTTGGCCGTGTGCTAAGAAGTGATGGCAAGACTTGTGAAGGTGAGAATGGGCAAGAAGGGACGCAAATCGAGAGCTCAAGGGAAGCCACTGGCTTATTCTCTGATATTCAGGAAACTGTCTTAGAGCCTGAAGAGAGCAACAGTTTGGCTGTGCAAAGAAATGAAATAAGCGGTTCATCAACATTGAGAATGCTCACACGGTGGACAGAATTCAGTGCTGATTTTGTCTCTAGGATTTAACAGGAGGGAATTTTGCAAGAGGCAGAAAACCACATTTTTATATGAGAAATAAAAATAGGGTGTTCTGGCCAGGTGCCTGAAATCACAGCACTTTGGGAGACTGAGAAGTTTGAGACCAGCCTGGGCAACATAGTAAGACACTATCTCTACAAAAAATTAAAAAATAAAAATTATCTGGGCATGGTGGTGCATGCTTGTAGTCCCAGCCACTCAGAAGGCTGAGGTGGTAGGATTACTCAAGCCCAAGAGTTTGAGGCTGCAGTGAGCTATGATTGCACTACTGCACTCCAGCCTGGGCAACAGATAGAAAAGATCTCAAAAAAAAAAAAAGAAAAAAAAAAAAGAAAGGAGTGGGGATATTCGGTATTTCTCAAACTTGAAAATGTGCCTACAAATCACTTAGGATCTTATCCAAATGCAGATTCTGATTTAGTAGGTCTGAGATCAGGTCAAGATATTACATTTCTAAACTTCTAGGAGTTACCTATGCTGCTGGTCCAAGGAGCACACCTGGACTGGCCAGGTAATAGAGGCAGTAGCATAACCACTGGCTGACAGCTGTGCTTCCCAAACTTCCCTGCTGCTGAGAAGCACCTGGGGGCTTCTACGCTTAGCCCCTCCCAACCCTCTCCTGGAGCCTCTGCTTCAGAGGAGCTAAAGTGGGGCCTTGGGGTTTGTGTTTTTAAGCAAGTTCCACAGGTGATTTTTGTCATCTTGGAAATTTGAGAAACTGGTTTACATGAACCATTTCCTCTCCTCCCTATATGCTTTGTGTTTATGGAAGATGAATACAGTTTGGGGTGATAAATTTAAAAATCTAATTATTTTATTTTACTTTTAGATCTATTTTTAATAGCAGACATTTTATAGGACTTTATACATTTTATGTAACTAATAACAAAAAAGAACTCATAATGTATATCAAATAATTGAAATGGAAATGCCTACCATTATTATATGAAACTTAGATAATATCCCTTCTCTAAGGCACATTTACCCTTGCAAATTGTCACTACTAAAATTCCATCACTTCGGCCAGGCACGGTGGCTCAGGCCTGTAATCCCAGCACTTTGGGAGGCTGAGGCAGGTGGATCACTTGAAGTCAGGAGTTTGTGACCAGCCTGGCCAACATGGTGAAACCCCATCTTTACTAAAAATACAAAAATTAGCCAGGCATGGTAGCAGGCGCCTGTAATCTCAACTACTCGGGAGGCTGAGGCAGGAGGATTGCTTAAACTTGGGAGGTGGAGGTTACGGTGAACCAAGATTGTGCCATTGCACTCCAGCCTGGGCAACAAGAGCAAAACTCTGTCTCAAAAAATAACAATAATAATAAAATAAAATAAAAATACTACCCCAAAAGGAAAAATTATGGCTAGTGCCCACATTTTATTTCATGTAACAAACTTTGCATTATTAACTGAGAGACCATTAACCAGAATATTAAATTACTGTTCCTTATAATAAGACTAAATGTATTTTAAACTTTATTGAATAGAGGTAATATCCAGAGTCCTTCTTAAATCTTAATTATTTTATGTAATAATCTTTGCATATTTGAATGTTAATTAAATATTTCATTAAAAAATTTATAATTATTTATGAGCACTTTATTGGAAAGATTGCAGTTAATCCTCATATAATCTTAAAACCTAATAACCATAACTGAAAAAATATTTTAGCAGAAGATGAAAATTAAGTGAGTTATACTTTAGGATTAATATTCCTGCTTATAACCCTTACGTTTTATTGATAGTCCAAACATATATGTTTCCTTAGCTAAACTATTTGATAATTACATGTTCTTTTAAAAAACAACAGCCCTTTTTAATTTTTTTTTTTAGATTCAGTGGGTACATGCACAGGTTTGTTACATGGATATACTGCTTAACTCTGGGGCTTGGGTTTCTATTGAGCCCATCACCCAAACAGTGAGGACAGTACCAAATAGGTAGTTTTTCAACCCTCACCCTGTTCCCTTCTCCTGCTTTACGGAGTTCCCAGTGTCTTTTTTTTTTTTTTTTTTTGAGACAGGGTCTCACTCTGTCTGTCACCCAGGCTAGAATACAGTGAGGCCATCTTCTCTGCCTCCCTGGGCTCAGGTTATCCTCCCACCTCAGCCTCTAGAGAAGCTGGGACTATAGGCGTGTGCCACCACACCCAGCTAATTTTTGTATTTTTGTAGAAACAGGGTTTCAACATGTTGGCCAGGCTGGTCTCAAACTCCTGAACTCAAGCAATCTGTCTGCCTCAGTTTCCCAAAGTGCTGGGATTACAGGTGTGAGCCACTGTACCAGGCTCCTGGTGTCTATTTTTATATAGTTTATGTTTGTCCATTCTTTATGTCTGTGTATCCATTGTTTAGCTCCCATTTACAAGTGAGAACATGCAGTATTTTTGTTCCTGCATTAATCCAGCTCTTGTTAGTTTTTAAGTAATTTTTATTGTTTTGTTTTACTTATTTTTAATTTATGATTATTAATTTTTTTTTTTTTTGAGACAGAGTCTCACTTTGTTGCCCAAGCTAGAGTGTGGTGGGGCGATCTTGGCTCACTGCAACCTCTGCCTCCGAGGTCAAGTGATTTTCCTGCCTCAACCTCCTGAGTAGCTGGGATTACAGGTGCCTTCTACCACGCCCGGCTTTTTTTTTTTTGTTTTTTTTAGGAGAGACGGGATTTCACCATGTTGTCCGGGCTGGGTTTGAACTCCTGACCTCATGCAATCCGCCTGCCTTGGCCCCCACAAAGTACTGGAATTACAGGTGTGAGCTACTGCACCCAGCCTGTTTTGTTTTATCATAAATGTGTAGAATAAAATAAAGAGGAGCAGGAGAAAAATAATTAAAATGACCCACAATCCATTTGCCAGATGTATCCATTCTAAACATTTTGGTTTATCTTCCTGAGAGACTTAAATATTTTTAGCTAATTTAAATTTTCAGTTTATTTTTTACTTTGCATTTTTAGACGTGGAAATATTCTGAGTGAACCTTTAGTGCAACCTCTTCATTTTACAAATATTGAAATTGTGACTCAGAGAAATAAAATGACTTAAGGAAGGTAATTTTTAAGGAAAAAAGTGCTATTAATGTTCATTTTAACATCTTATAGCATATTTTTGTGCTTTCTTCTATAGTATAATGTATAATTTTCAGCCATTTCAAAAGCTCCTAGGTGTGCTTTTATCCTTTAAGAATATTCAGATATGAAAACTGGTGATGCTTAATCTCTTTAAAGTGTTGCAAAGAGTGATTCATTGCCACATTTGTCTCTGTATACATTTCACAAAAACTAATTCATTCTAAGTTAATTTATTGATGTTCCAAATAACTGCTTTTTTAAAACTATTGTTGAACTGAGAGAGTTATAGCTGTAACTGAAAATCAGCTTTTATCTTTCCCTGAGCATCTCAGGTGATTTGAAAACATTCCCTTTCATTATTTTAACCTAGGACAGGGGTCAGCAAACTTTTCTCCAAAGGTCATATGGTAAATACTTTAGGCTTTGTGGACCATGCAGGATCTGTAGAAACTATTCAACTCTGTTCTGGTAGTGAGAAAGTGGCCATATAGGGAGATGAATGTGCATGCCTATATGCCAATAAAACTTTATTTATAATAATGTGTAGCAGATTAGATTTTGACAACCTCTGACCTAGAAGATAGGACTTTTGTCCTATCTTCTAGGTCAGAGGTTGTCCAAGTCCCACAAAAGTCTTTTTTTTTTTTTCTGTTAAATTCAAAATCATCTTGTAGATTCTTTAGTTTTCAATGGAATATTTTTCCCTTTTGTCCGTTTGGCTCAAGTTTGCTTTTTGAACATGCAAAACATTAAAAAAGGAAACTTAAACAAAACCATCTCATGAAAGGACTGTCACCAGGGTTTGGTTGAATGGACTCAGCATGCTGTCCAGGCCTCATTTTTATAGCGTGCTGTCAGTCCAAAGCCCTTTACCCCCAGTGCTCTTGTCCTAGATATGTGAGGAGAGGGCCAGGTGACCCAGCCAGTCCACACAATAAGTCGGATCCAGCCAGCCAGTCCAGGTGAATTTATATTCTGTCAGTCCCTTTTACATCAATAATGCTCTATAAAATGTCAAATTGAGTGGATTAAATGTTACAGCAATTAAGAAATGGCTTTTGGCTAACCATGAGAAAAGCATTAGACAAACCCAAACTGAAGGACATCCTGCAAAATTCCTGACCAGCTTAACTGGGTAGAGTTATGGATGTTGGAAGATCAGTCTTTGTAGCTACACTATTTCATAAACATTCTTTGAGTTCTTGCCTGCATGTCTCAGTCACTAGGTTAGGCACCAGGGATGCTGCCATAAGTTAAGTATAATCCCTGATACAAAGCGCCAGAATCCTTGGGGTAGAGGATGGCAAGATGATTTTCTTTTCTGTTCGTTTCTACCACAGACATTGAAGGGTGCCACAATAACAATGGTGGCTGCAGCCACTCTTGCCTTGGATCTGAGAGAGGCTACCAGTGCGAATGTCCCCGGGGCCTGGTGCTGTCTGAGGATAACCACACTTGCCAAGGTAGTACATGGGGCGGTGGTTTGGGGGGGAGGCTTGACTCTGCTTCGATTACACTTCTTCCTCCTCCAGAATTCTTTGCCTTCCTCCCCCAAGTATATCAGAGTTCTTATCTTTCAGAACCATGGCTCTTTGAGCAGTGTGCATCGCTGAATCATCACTCTGGAATCATTTAAAAGAGAAGATCTCTAAGAAAAGATTACCAAAAAACTAACTTTCCTTTGCTGTCTACCTTTGATTTTTGACTACTTCTATGGTTAGTTGTATGACTAATAACTCACTATGGAAGCATAAGACATTGATGCAGCTCCTTTCTTTTCTAATAGGTTTGAAACTAAGTGAACTAAGTTAAAAGCCCTGTGAAACATATTATTTTCCCCACACTTAGGATAGGAGGGTTAATAATGCTCTGAGAATTATTTTTTGGAAATCTGGTTATTTTGGGGGGTTTGTTTGTTTTTTTGAGACAGAGTCTCACTCTGTTGCCCAGGCTGGAATACAGTGGCATGATCTCGGCTCACTGCAACCTCCACCTCCCAGGTTCAAGCGATTCTCCCGCCTCAGCCTCCCGAGTAGCTGGGATTACAGGCATGTGCCACCATGCCCAGCTAATATTTGTATTTTTAGTAGAGATGGGGTTTCACCATGTTGGCCAGGCTGGTCTCAAACTCGTGACCTTAAGTGATCCGCCCTCTTTGGCCTCCCAAAGTGTTGGGGTTACAGGCATAAACCACCATGCCTGGCCTGGAAATCTAGTTTTTGATGTCCAGAATTTTTATTCATTTATCCAATAAATATGTAATGAGCACCTATTTTTGATTTCTTTACACTATACCATTGTTATGATATGTCTTCATGTATTGGACTCTGACAGTACTCAAGTATTCTCTTTAGGATATTTGCAGAGTCTAGAGAAGAACATGGAAAATGCTAAGGAAAAGCAATATTTTTTATATTAAGGTAAAACGGTGAAATTTATAGTCAGAGTTATGGTTTCCTGAGCAGTGCAAGGACAATTTGGAAGCCGTTCCCAAGTGCACTAACACTGTTTTTATTGTCTCTGTTTTATGAGGCAATAATTAATGGTAAAGTCACAGCAGCATCGTTATGTACCGTAGGCCTATATCAAAGCAGCACTTTTTCTGTATTGCCAGTAAATTGTGTTTGTGCTGAAAGTTAATTTCTTAAGTGTTTCAGTTCACAGAGTTATGCTGTCTACGCTTTGAAACCAGTGTTTGTTGAATTGAAAGTTGAACCTTGTATTTCCTAATTCAGGGAACCATATATTTGAGGAACATTATTTGACCATAATCTTGGGAGTTAGGAATACTGGTTTTATTCACCAACTTGTTTTCAGCCCCTCTGATTTCCTTGGGGATGGAACAAAAAGCTCAGGTTGCGTGAGGGTGAAATTATTTCTCCTAAAAGCCTTTCTCCCAATTCAGGTTTCCTGGCTCTAACAGTGGCCCCGTTTCTCTGCAGTCCCTGTGTTGTGCAAATCGAATGCCATTGAAATGAGCATCCCCAGGGAGCTGGTTGGTGGCCTGGAACTCTTCCTGACCAACACCTCCTGCCGAGGAGTGTCCAACGGCACCCACGTCAACATCCTGTTCTCTCTCAAGACGTGTGGTACAGTGGTCGATGTAGGTTCCTCCTGGTGGGCATTTGGGGAGTGACCAAAAGCCTGTTATTTGGGAGGTAGTGGACAGAGGTATGCCATGTGACTTGGGTCATTGATGAGATATTTACGTACAAAAGATTTGAGCTCAAAACCTCTTATGTCATTCATTTAACAAATATGTTATTGCTCACCTGCTGTGGTCCTGGCACTGTGAAGAATTCTGTTATTCCTGTTTTCAAATAGCCCATCTCTCCAATATGTGCAGACATTTTCCTGAATGCATCAGTACCTGTGATACTGCGAGGCTGGCTACATCCCCTCTGACCAATTATTTTATTTGAAGAAAGCAATTAATACAGATGACGGTTCATTTATGATGTAGCGAATGAGTTCAAGTATTGAACCAGGTTGAGTGAAAAGGTTTATACTTTCATCCAAAAATCTGCACACAGCCCTGTGCTGGAGAGTTAGGAATGTATGAAATCCTGCCTTTTAGGAACTTGCACAGCAGAACTGAGATGACAACACAGAAAATGTAAGGAAAGGATGAACAGCAAGACAGATGACAGGCCCTGCAGGAGCCCAGTCAAGGGACAAACACAGGAGCAGTCAAGACAAGTGGGACTTGGATCCAGGCGGAACTGTGTGTGTGGTTTACACAGCAGAGAGGAAAAGAAAGGGCCTTTCAGATGGGAAACAAGTGAGCAAGTCTCCAAGAGGGGATATTTCAGGCCTGTGTGGAGGTGTGTGGAGAGTGCAGCCAGACTGGCCAGGAATTTGTACTGGAAAATGAAACCGGAAAAGTAGATGGGGCGGGCTGGGCTTCCAAAGGCTTGCCTTGTGTGCTAGGGTGAGCTGTCTGGATTTTATCCCACAGAAATGGGGTTAGGCAGGGACTGTGGTGATGAATGCCATGATCTGACAGCAGCTTCCAAGATGGATAGAGCAGAGGGGCCTGCATGTGGATCAGCACGGAGGCCTTTGTGATCATTTGGTTAAACGAATATTTATTTATTACTCTGACTAAATGAAAATCAGAAAGCTGATTCGACTTGGAGTGAGACAAGGGGGAGATATTCAAGGAGCAGGCAGTCCCACTTGAAGCAAGTTTTGTCGATCGTATCTGGGGATAATCAAATGGAAATGCTGCATGGTAGGTTGGCGCTATTCTCCCGCACACGGGAGAGCAGAAGAATCTGGTGATAAGGAACTGAAAACCATCCGGTAAATGTCACAGCCAAAATCTTGAGTGTGGAAGAGTTTACACAAGGTCATGTTGCCACAGCATCACCAGATCTAAGACTCCTGAAAAACACATAATGGGCAGAAGCTCTCCTTTTCTAAAATACCAGAGCTTTGGATTTGCTGATTCTGCATAGATCAAGTGTTATGAGTAATACTCCAGAGGAATGTGTTGATTACCCAAGAGGTAGTGTGTAAAACTCTTTTTTTTTTTTAAGACGGAATTTTGCTCTTGTTGTTGGGACTTGGATCCAGGCGGAGTGCAATGGTGTGATCTCGGCTCACTGCAACCTCCACCTCCCAGATTCAAGCAATTTTCCTGCCTCAGCCTCTCAAGTAGCTGGGAATACAGGCGTGCACCACCACGTCTGGTTAATTTTTGTATTTTTAGTAGAGATGGGATGTCACCATGTTGGTCAGGCTGGTCTTGAACTCCTGACCTCAGGTGATCTCCCTGCCTCAGCTTCCCAAAGTGCTGGGTTTACAGGTGTGAGCCACCGTGCAGGGCCCCCTACCTTTTTTTGTTATTATTATTATTTTATTATTTATTAAAAAGTACACAACAAAGAGCTAGGCAGTATAATACCAATAGTTAGAATATAAAGCCATGTATGATATGGACTAATTAAGAGGTAGAGACAAGTTCTAAGTGAGAGCCATCTGAGTTTAAGCTGCAGTTGATTCTTGCTATTTGCAGTAGTTATGTTCTACAAAGCTGCCGCAAGCAATGAATTAGGGACTACTGAAGCTAATTTGTTTAGCAATCGAGCATTGCTCCTAGGGGAAATCTGGGTTAGGTTCCTGTAATCCTCTCGTTACAACATTTTTGTCAACTGGCAGTTAACCTTGTTCTGTGTGTGTTTCTGTTTAAAGATACCTTATTTAACATACATTATAGATTCATTAACATCGCACTCATGGCCAGCAGCACCACAACGCATGTCTGGAGTGTATCAAACATGTATTTTTCCATTTTCCCTGTAAGGCACATCATAGCCTCCTGTGCTTACCAGACAGCCCATCTGCACTGCACTCGGTGGTCCCTTTAATCAGCAAAATCATCAGCAAAAGCACAAACATGCAAAAAACATGCCATTCTGTAGATCACAGAAAGGATCCTGGCTTACAATATGAGAGCTAAAGCAAGAAGGCGGTGGTGCCTTGTTGGACTTCAGCTGGGAATGTGCCACTGTGCGCAATCCTGTGAATAGCCTCAGAAGCATAGTGAGTATGGATTTGGGGGTTACAAATATCTGTTAGCTACTAGGTGAATTCACACATACTAAATCCATGAATAATGGGCATCAACTGTACATTGTAAACTTGTGGGCTTTATAGAAGAGATGAATTTTGAGTGAGGCATTGAAGGATGGGTAAATGAAGATGCGAATGATGGGTGAGGAGAGATGTCATCCCCTGAGTCCTAGTCTCATCACACTCACCCCTTCCTGACCACAGATCTTTTTTTTTTTTTTTTTTTTTTTTTTTTTGAGACGGAGTTTCACTCTTGTTACCCAGGCTGGAGTGCAACGGCGCGATCTCGGCTCACCACAACCTCCGCCTCCTGGGTTCAGGCAATTCTCCTGCCTCAATCTCCTGAGTAGCTGAGATTACAGGCACACGCCACCATGCCCAGCTAATGTTTTGTATTTTTAGTAGAGACGGGGTTTCACCATGTTGACCAGGATGGTCTCGATCTCTTGACCTCGTGATCCACCCGCCTCGGCCTCCCACAGTGCTGGGATTACAGGCTTGAGCCACCGTGCCCGGCCCATTTCTTACTCTCGTATACCACAGTCTTTGAAGCTGAATCTTATTTTAAAATTATATTTAAGTTCAGGGGTACACGTGCAGGATGTGCAGATTTGTTACATAGGTAAATATGTGTCATGGGGGCTGGTTATACAGATTATTTCATCACCCAGGTATTAAGCCTACTACCTGTTAGTTATATTTCCTGCTTCTCTCTCTCCTCCTATCTTCCACTCCCTGAGAGGCCCTAGTGTGTGCTGTTCCCCTTCCCTTCTATGTGTTAGTGTGTTCTCACCATTTAGCTCCCACTTCTAAGTGAGAACATGTGGTATTTGGTTTTCTGTTCCTGTGTTAGTTTGCTAAGGATAATGGCCTCCAGCTCCATCCACATCCCTGCAAAAGACATAATCTCATTCTTTTTTGTGGCTGCATAGTATTCCATAGGATATATATGTACCACATTTTCTTTATCCAGTCTATCACTGATGGGCATTTAGGTTGATTCCATGCCTTTGCTATTGTGAATAGTGCTGCAGTAAACATATGTGTGCATTGCATGTGTCTTTACAATAGGACAATTTGTAATCCTTTGGGTATATACCCAGTAATGGGATTGCTGGGTCAAATGGTGTTTCTGTCTTCAGGTCTTTGAGGAATCACCATATGGTCTTCCACCACAATGGCTGAACTAATTTACACTCCTACCAACAGTGTAAAATTATTGATTTTCTTTACAACCTCACCAGCATGTTATTTTTTGACTTTTTAATGATAGCCATTTTGACTGGGGTGAGATAGGATCTCATTGTGGTTTTGATTTGCATTTCTGTAATGATGTTGAGCTTTTTCTTCATGTGCTTTTTGGCCACATGTATGTCTTCTTCTGAGAAGTGTCTGCTCATATCCTTTTCCCATTTTTAAATTTTTTTTTCTTATAAATTTGTTTAAGTTCCTTGTAGATGATGAATATTAGACCTTCATCAGAGAAAAAAAATTTCTCCCATTCCGTAGGTTGTCTGTTCACTCTGATGATAGCATGTTTTGCTGTGCAGAAACTCTTTAGTTTAATTAGATCCCATCTGTCAATGTTTGCTTTTATTGCAATTGCTTTTGGCATCTTCATCATGAAATCTTTGCCCATGCTTATGTCTTGAATGGTACTGCCTAGGTTGTCTTCCAGGATTTTTATAGTTTTGGGTTTTACACTTAAACCTTTAATCCATCTTGAGTTAATTTTCATATATGGTTTAAGGAAGGTCCAGTTTCAATTTTCTGCATATGGCTAGCCAGTTATCCCAGCACCATTTCCTCATCGCTTGTTTTTGTTAGGTTTGTTGAAGATCAGATAGTTATAGGTGTGCTGTCTTATTTCTGGGTTCTCTTTTCTGTTCAATTGATATATGTGTGTCTCCTTAGACCAATACCATGCTGTTGTGGTTACTGTAGCCCCGTAGCATAATTTGAAGTTGGGTAGTGTGATGCTCCAGCTTTGTTCTTTTGCTTAGGATTGTGTTGGCTATTCAGGCTCTTTTTTTTTTTGTTCCACATGAATTTTAAAATAGATTTTTCTAGTCTGCAAAGAATGTCAGTGGTAGTTTAATGGGAAAGCGTTGAATCTATAAATTGCTTTGGGCAATATGGTCATTTTAACAATATTGATTCTTTCTATCCATGAGCATGGAATGTTTTTCCATTTGTTTGTGTCATCTCTGATTTCTTTCTTTCTTTTTTTTTTTTTTGACACAGAGTTTCACTCTTGTCATCCAGGCTGGAGTGCAATGGCCTGGTGTTGGTGCACTGCAACCTCCACCTCTTGGGTTCAAGCAATTCTCCTGCCTCAGCCTCCCGGGTAGCTGGGATAACAGTCATGAGCCACCATGCCCAACTAATTTTTCTATTTTTAGTAGAGATGGAATTTCACCATATTGGGTAGGGTGGTCTCAAACTCCTGACCTCAGGTGATCCACCCGCCTTGGCCTCCCAAAGTGCTGGGATTACAGGTGTGAGCCACCACACCTGGCATCTCTG